ATATATATATATATATATATATATATATATTATTTGGTTTACATTTTTATACATGGAAAAGGAAATACGGCAGTAGCAAAATATCAGTCTCTTCGAACACACATTGTTTAGATCCGATTACTACGTACCGGTACTACTTATTTATATATTTTCAGGCTGGGCTTGTTTACTATGAATCTATTGAACTTTACACATTGGTATCAATAAAACAAAACGCTGAGTCAGCAGCTAACTTTTTTGTTTTGGTTTAGTCACGATGTGTGTAATCATTATAGAAAATGTTGGCCTATTTTTTGGTTTGTTTTTAAATTTGGAACCTAAAATAGCTTCAAGTGTTTGTTCAAAGTCGGACCTTATCTATTAATCGGAGTGTATGTTAAAAAATTAGTGAACCCTATCACTTATTTAATCTTAAAATGAGATTGTGATTTTAAACAGAGGTAATTTACCTTACAGACAGTGACAATTAACACGACCACCAACCGTATAAAAAAAAGGAGCAAATTAACCATAACCTGGTGTGTTACCGTACTGCATACTCAAACGTTCCCAAATACTTCGCTTAGTGATTAAAGTTGTATTGCAGGCTTTGTGGTCTAGTGGTTATAACAGGCTAGTTAACTAGAGGTCGTAGGTTCGATTCCCACCCTAGCTATTTTTTCTGCAAGTACTTTAGAACGTATTCAGTACGATAACGCGTCAGGTAGTGCAAACTCCTATGATACACATCGAAATAGCAATTGCAGTTCTCGCAGGAACTAAGCGCCTCGATGGTCTAGCGGTTATGACTCCAGGCTAGTTTCCTGAAAGTCGTGGGTTCGATTCCGACTCGAATTACTTGCGATTCTTTTCCGCAAGTATTCAGTAGCATAACACGTCAGGTAGGACAAAACATCACTCGTATGATAATTATTTTCCTGGCGCAGACACACATCGAAATAATATTTTACATTTTACTTTATAAGAAAGTGGAGCATTGCCTACTTATTATTTGAACTCCATTCTGCAGAGGTCCACTCAAACGCTATTCTTTCTTCTAGATGGGTCACATGGTCTTGGGTCCTGATAAGCTACAGTACACTCTCCTAGTATGGCATGGGCATAATATTCAGGAATTTTCTGAAAGGGCGGAGGTCTGCACTTCTCGACCAGGACTTGCCCGATGGGGGATCCGAGATCAAGCGAAAATCTGTCGCTGAAAATCTTACGAACGAGGTAAGCCCTAAAAAATGAGACAATTTAGGGGGGCTTCCAAAGGCTTACTTAATCAATTTTAAAGTTTACTACAAATAAGTATGCTTTCTCCCCGACGAGTTGCGTCTTTTTCTCCCAACGAGGGGGTGGGGGATCTCCCCAAGACTCGAGTGCAATCTCAACTCGCCCCTTTTTACCCTATATTTCACTCTATTGGAAAATATATGGTGTTGGCACACTTTTTACACTCTTTTGCATTAGGGATATGCACTGGCCTTACAATACACAACCTTGGCGAATTCTATCCCACCCAAAACCGCACGCAGCATGATTTATGTGTGCACCTGTGTTTTCTATCACAAGTTTCTGAAAAGTTCGGCAAAAACAATTCATTGAGGCTGCAAAGCATAATCAGAGTAGCCTGTTTTCCAATAGCGATCTATTCGCGCAAATCGATAGTTTCGGTTCGCTTCCTCAGGTCTGATTGGTTGCGCACTTTTTTCGCTTCGCAAAAAGTAGAAACAGTTCGAACTACTGCAGATTTCGCTGAAGCTATAAACGTCGACAGGGATGTGAATGTGCATGCGGAAAAGGTAGCTCGACCTCACTTACTCCTCGGCTTCCCACTAAATTTTGCACACCCTTTCCGGACTTCGCTCAATACCCCAGCACCACTGTGCATGATAGCTGTTGTATTTAAGTCTCCACTGGGGAGAAATGTCCACGACGGTAATGTAAGTGGAAAGGCCAAGCGTCATCCAGACCCCTCGGAGGTGATCTAGGGGCGAAGCCCAGGAACTCCGACAATGTAGGAGATTGAAAGGCATAGTTAATCAATTTCGGTCCATAAACTGCGAACGTTATAATAATAAATGTTTGCAGTACACTACGCAGCTAGATATGAAAAGAAGACGTTTCGATTGAGTTAATTCAATAGCCACCATCAAAAGAATATTATATTCAGATATTGAAGCAACTCAATCGAAACGCCAAGACTCACAACAGCAGGTATTTAGAACTATGTACGTGGTGCACCACAAGCATTTATTATTATTGTTACTTGCCATGCAAACCTTCAAAAAGTATTCTGTAAAAAAGATACACGGGCGTTCATTTTCCTCCCTAGCGATTTCTGGTAAGCATACCGATTGGGGGAGGGGAAGCGGCCCAACCTCCGGCCTCCTACTGGCGTTACCACTGAGATAATATTGTGTACACTTTCGTGTTGCGTAAAAGATTGCCACTTATTGGCGATATATTCAGTATTGGCCATGGCCATCCTGTGCCTAGAAAAAATAATAAATAAAAACATTTTTTTTTTAAATTTCTCGTAAATTTATTCGCATGATTACATTGCTGATCAAATGCTGCAAATCAATGACAAGTAATTGTGATATGTGACCTTAGTATATAGAGTCTCCCACCCTTCATTCGAGTGTCTCTACCCTCAATCATACTATATGTGAAGATCCCCGGACTTCATTCCTTGATACCATACGTTTTAAAAAGAAATTATCATCATGTTTCATAAATAGTTTGTTTCAAAAATTCACCACAGGTTCTTAAATCTTTCAAATGTTGTAATTTCAATGACATCAGTTTGTTTTCATTGTGTTGTTGGGAAGGCCTTAACTATTTGCAAGCGCTGGTCTCCTGGGCTACGGCAGTTGGTCTTTCCTTTTGCGCTCTTTTTTTTTTTTTAGCTCTGATGGGGGAGCTCTATGAGTACCCTGCCGATTGAGTAAGGGTCGTTCAACATTAACAACATTTTCACAAGTGTAGCAACCCCTGTCTCTTATACACATCTCCAAAATCCATTCGCTTGCAAAATTTGGAATATTTTGAATTTGAATATCATAGCATGGAATAAATGGTACGAAAGAAAATTTTGTGAAAAGATTACTACTGTTATGTTGGCTAATATTCTAGACAAAATGAGGTAGTTCTGGATGTTAAAGCATTATCTCAGTGCTTTTAAGCTGGGCACTCACTAGTTTGGACGACTGTCGTGCTACGAATCCAACTATTGTCACCCCGAATGCTAGTCGACGCGACACAGTCTGCTGATTTTCAGTGGCAGTGTTAACGGATCTTCATTATAAACGATTGGTTGCGTGTGCGTCGTGGCGTTGCGTTCCCCGTTAAAACCGCAACGGCCAACGACCGTCGGGGGCTGTGTGTCCCCGGCTTTAGTGAACAAATTATAACATGCCATTTATTAGACAATAATCAGTACCAAAAAAAAAAAAAAAAAGACCAATACATTTGCTGCTTACAGATGCTCAGGTGCTTAAAGGCGCAATGGTTTAAATGATCAGGGAGTAAAAATGCCTATATGAAACTGAGAAGGATGACAAACAATTAATTACCAATATGAGAATTACAAAAAACAATAATAAATAATAGTAATCATTATTCATTTATTTATTTCAACCATAATTCTGGTCATTCCCACCTTTGACCCAACAATAAAAATATATATTTTGTCACATTTTAATGCTGTGTAAACCTCATCATCTTTGCAGGAAATTAATGCTAGTTTCTAAAAATTTTGTGCAAGCTAACACTATTCAGTCACCATACTATGTATTCAAGTTTGTGTAAGTTTGAATAATTAATTTCATATAGTAACAAATATTTATAAAGCGCCTATTCAAAATTTATCAAAGGTGGTTAGTGAGGAAATAAAGCAAGTTAACATTCCTGTAATAAATAGGTTTTAAGATTTTTCTTTAAAAAAACCAAATTATCAAAGATCCTGAATTCCCCACTTGTCCATTAAGATATGTGCACAAATGAATGTGATATGTCCATACTTGTTGGTATTATTATATCATCATGCCCATATATGGGCACACACAAATTTATCTCATAAAATTTAATAGTGTGGACACGGCTTTACCCTGGTATTCTTAAAACGAACTTTAGTCGTAGTTCGAGCTAAAACTTACATCATTTTGTTCGTATTCTTAAAACGAACTTCAACTAGCAGTACGACTAAATTACGCGAACCTTGACTAAAATTATACCTCCTCAGGCCGATTTTTTTAGTCAGCCTAGGGTCAAGCTAAATCGTCGACTTGAAGTATTTACCCCACTAAAAACGTGCTTTTTGTAACTTACGATAAAGTGAAGTGAATATACATGATTGTAGAAATAGGTCTGATGTGTCGTCAGCGTGTTCAAGAAAAGGGACATTACGTTTAGCTTCCAAAAGGTGAAATTAACATGTTTTGCTAGCCACATGCAACAGTTCCTGATTTGCACAAAATCCCCTTGTGTTGCGGTCACGTAGCTTCACGGTAACAACAAAAAAATATGGCGCTGCCCTCGCTCAACCTCAACTATAATAGTTCTCCAAAGAAAGCAAATTTTCAGTAGCAGTTCATATTCTATATCGTTAGATGTTAACGACTAATATAGTTATTATTATAGAATATTAGTTAAACGAATAATGGTCTATTATGAATTAAGAGGAAATATGTTTTGAAAGACAGACAGCAGAATAATATTCATCCGCGTTACCGGATATCTAAAATTTCTTCTGCTATTAAAATTCGCTCTTTTCATTGGTTAGTTTGATAGTTGTTGCTTGCCAGCCATCTTCAGCTGGACTACAGCTAGGACCTGATTTAGTTGTAGTTAAAAAATTTGACTACGTTGTTTGTGAACACAAATTGAAGTTGAAGTTGCAATTAAGACTGTAGCCTGGTTCTCACGAGAGCCTTAGTATCCGGATCGGGAGCCAACCATTAGCACCTGCGTGAGAACGCCCGATCGGTTAGCGCTAACCGTTAGCGGTATCCGGATACCGCTAACGGTTAGCAGCGCTATCGGTTAGCAAGTTGAGCATGTTTTTATCTTCAACCAATCCCATGTATGCGTATACAATTTCCAGTTTCTTATTGGCCAGTGATTCGATCATCATGTTTTTGGTATCCAGATCGGGATTTTCTCCTATGGATGCACGGCAGCTAACGGTTAGCAGGATCCAGATCCTGCTAAACGTTAGCAGCCGTGTGAAAACATAGCCTAAATGAAGTTCTATTTCGAAGTTTGACTAAAGTTCGTTTTAAGAATACGGGCGTTAAGAGTTTGATTGGTTGAACTGTAGATTGCAGCCTCGAAGTAACATGTGCATCTGTCCACACTAACAAATTTTATGTGAGAGATGAATGTGATATGCCCATATATGGGCACATCACATCAATTTGTCCACTGGCAGTTAGAAACATTCCATGCTTTCCTCTCTGTAATTAGTTGCAATGTAATGTGTAGCCTCATAATTTGTATCTGCACTGTATGCTGGCAGTCAGAATGTTATGTAAATAGCCCCTGAGATCCGCTATGACCTAGCGTCTACCCTAATTTACAGATGATCGTCTGACTATAAAGTGGGCACACAGGACTGCTACTTGCCCACTGCTGGTCCCTTTTAACGCAAAGTAACGAGCTCTTCCGAAGCTGTTGGATGTATAGCAACCGTATTATCAAAGTCTTCTTTCGTAGCCCCCATCTTAATCGCCACAGAAAAACCCTGTAACATCTCATCGACACCGAGGCCCTGCATGTGTAGGCCGACCACCTTCTCCTCGGGGCCAGCACATACCAATTTCATCACTGTTTTCTGCTTTCTTTCTGTGACAGCAAAGTACATGTTGGTAAAAGTTGACTTATAAACTTTTACTTGGTCCTCTCCGAATTTGGTCTTTGCTTCACCTGAAAGAAAATAATTACACTGCCCTCAACATGCAATGTCATCATATGAAGAAAATGTGACTTGACTCACATTTTTTGTCAATTTTGAGATATCATTTGGGAGCATATTAAACACTCCTGATTTAGTTGTGAAAATTTTGGGTCTTAACAATGGGTAGTTTCAGAGATAGCAACACTATCTTTAAGCATGAAACTTAAAGTCCAGTTATTTTCCATGGTAAAACAATGTATAAGAACTGAAAGATTAAGGGTAAAACAATGCATCTTCGATGGTGATACATTGTTTTAGCCCAGAATAGGAATACTCTAAAAATATTTTGCGTTGATAGTTTCCAGACAGAAAAATCTGTTATACTTTAGCAACAATCTTAACATCAGCACGTGCACAAGCTAGATAATGCATACAATTCCTGAGTCTTGTGATACATTAAAAAATTCGTATTTTAAATATAATCAGATCTACATAATCCTGAAAGTTGCAGGATTGGTAAAACAATTTGTTGCCAAGTTGTAAAAATGTGAACTTTAACTCTACTTGTCTTAAAAGGGGAAAATTTCAAGTTATGTCGTTTTGCCTAATAATGCCTGTAATCCCAACCTTTTCAGCCAATGCTGCTGCTTTGGGAATTGAGGTATTTCATATCTGAATCCAACAATATTTTATGATAAAACTATTCAATTTTTTTTTTACATCTGTAATGTTATGATCAGTCAGGCACAGCTAGCCAATCAGTTGGGACCCTTGATGCTCAAAATTAAATCCTTTTTTTTTTTTGTGTGGCTTAAGGTGTAAAAATCTCTCTGGGAATTTTCCGGAGCCTTAGGATTATGAGTTAGGTTAAACATGATAAGAATAAACATACCTTCAGTCATTCCAACAGTTCCAATTGGTGGATGGGAAAACACAACCGTTGGGATATTGCTGTAATCCAACTTCAAGTCAGGTTTGTTGTCAAACAAACGACGAGCTAACCTTCGACCTGCTGCGATAGCAACTGCAAAACAAAATTTAACAGAAGTTTAATGACTGAATATGGTATACAGAGTAAAAGAAATTACACTTTTCTCAAAATAGGAAGAGTTTTAGTTCCTTAGGTATATTTTTGGTATAAATTAAGAAAGTATGCTTTGTATATATTGTATGCATAACAAACCATACCTGGCGTTAGTAATGCTTTTCCACAAACGTCTCCGAGTGCGTAAATTTTATCAGCAGCCGTGTTTTGGAACTCATCAACTTTGATGTCGCCACGACTCGTCAACTCAACACCCTAAAAAAAGCATTAAATTATTTAATCTCAATAGTCGTCTGAAGATCCACATTATTGATTTTCCATTATTGATATCTGCATGTGTTTTTGTGCACTAGTCTCTATTTACAAGATTGGTAGTTAACTCTGTCAATTAACAAACAGAGCTACTAAAACACATTGGATTTCTTTTGCATGAAACTCCTACTGTAGGATAACCACTAAAGCCCAAAACCTTCTAGTTGTGAATTAGGCAGTCCTCCTTGAGAAACAACCTGCTCTTTTCCTAGAATCTACTGTCGCCTAACATGCATATGAACCATTATCAGTTTAGCGTTTATCCAAACGATAGTGTGCTATTGTAACTTGCACTGCACTGAGCCCTCAAATTTAAACACAAAGGGAGCAGCTATGGAATTGAACATGGGACTGAACGTCTGAAAGGACCATGTTTAGCACACTCATATTGGCTACCACCATCTGACTGAGCTAAGCTGCTCTTTTTATGATTTCTTTAAGGATCTTTTCAGTCCCATTCACAGAGTGGCAACAACCAGCTCAACCGAATCAGATGTTTCCGGATAGTTGCATGGGACTGTATGATGGAAGGAAATATCAAATCACAATTTTTATCCAAGTTAATGTTGACATTTGAGATGTGGCCCACTGCCCAAATGATGCAATCAAACCATGCAGATGCTATCAGAATGACAGTGTATAATGGGAGATGGATATGCAACTGACTTACTACTTTATCTAAGTTAATTTCGATATTTGGGGTGCGACCAACTGCCCAGATGACGCAATCAAACCCAGCAAAGGTTCCTTGACTTGTTGTGTATGTGAGACTTCCATCACTCTCCTTAGACAGAGAAACAGACTACAAAAAAACATAGAAATTAAATTAAACAATAATTAATAAATTAACCAAACAGCTCAACAGAGAGCATGAAACAGACTCCAAAATGTGATGCAAGCCGTTATGGTTCCATTTTCCAATAATCGAAATCAAAATTAATTTCTTGGCAAATAGATTTTGAAATATTAATTATGATGACTTGCATCAAGTTTTTCAAATTTTGTTTCATCCTCTAAAAAGACAACCATAATAAAAACATATCAACAATAATTAAGAATAAGAATAAATATAAACTTCTATGATATAAACCAATGAAGGAACAGGATAGCTTGCAAAACCATCTTTGATTACAGCACTGTGACAATCAACTATTATCATTTCTTCTTATATTTTCCAAATGTTTTTCAAATTAAATTTGAATAAAATGGGCAGTAAACTTTACAAGAAGATCACCACAGTATGGATCATATTTTCTCCTTGGATATATTTAGTGTGAGCACAAAGGATAATCCACGAAAGTCTGTAAGATTTATTTCCAGTGGGGTCCTTCTGATGGTGATTGGGCAGTACACCAGAAGAGTGTAATTAATTCTATAATGTGCACAGGACCAAAGGCTTAAATGCCTCATCCGAAGGAAGGTGCTCTTATTTATACTTGGACTTCAGCCCGCTTGTTGAAAAACAAGAATAGCAGCAGATAGAATTTACTGGGTATTAAAGGATCTTCATGGATAAATACTATATGAATAATTTGTTTTCTACTTACAGTGCTGTTTGTTACCAAGTTCATTCCAGAATTCTTGAGTTCTTCTGTGCAATTTTCACTGATTAAACTGTCAAAGGTTCGCAAAACCTTTAATAAAAGAGCCGAAACCTTACATGTTAATTTATCAAAGCATGGCGAGAATTCGGGGGAAAACATTTGGAGATAATTGGTAATGGAGGGTGTTTGATAAAGCCAGGAACACACTGCATCGACTGATAATCTGCCAATGGTTGGCCGGAGGGTGTTTGTGCCTGGCTTATGTCGTCCTTTTGATGTCATAGTTTTCTATGGAGATACACACACCAGCAGCACTTGTAGGAATAAGTATGAACGAATGTCACAGTCACATAGTTAGTTGGTTTTTTTTTAATGTGAAACATTCAAAGGAGTATAACCCACACAAGTAGTCAAATGCATACCAGGTGACAATAAATACCCTCTTCTTTCCCAAAGATTGTATTGCCTTATTTATTTATTTATGTATGTGCTGAAAAGGGAAAGAATGAACATGAGAAAAGAGCATGGGATTTGGAAGTGGATGGTATAAGAATAAGTGGTAGACCAAGTTTACAAGGAAATATATGGTGAAGAAAGAAAGCGGAAAGGTTGGTCTAAATGAGGAGGATGTTCAAAACAGGAAGAAGTGGAACATGGGAGTGTCATCATGGCATGAAAGTCAGTAACCCTTTGTAAGAGGGAAAAATACAGACGTAAATAAATGATGATGATGATTTATTACAAAAAAATTTTGTGAGGGTGATCCATCTAGACAGAGCTGATCATTAGGGACCCTTAATACAGATAACATGAAACAAAGAAAATGAAATATATTTAGTAAATAATTCTAAGAATTAAAAAAATATTTACAAGTTATGAAAAGGAATAAAAGTGTAAAATAACTAAACTAAATGAATACGCATAGAAATAAGTTAAATAATTTAAATATTCATTAAAATGAATATTGAATATATATTTAATTAAAGACAAAGGAACAGAATAATTATAAGATAATAAATGATAAGTATATAATAACAAAATTTATGAAATGAACATGTACATGAATCATATTCAACAGAATCAACAGCTCAAACAATTTTTGCGAATGATGATAAGCTGTAGCTTACACTTCAGCCCTATAGATGAAACAAGAGCACTGATGTAATTTGAGACTTATCTCCATGTTTCAGTGTACACACTGAGGCTGGAACCAGTTTCTGTTGCCCTTAATTCCACCCTGCCCCATGTTGTAGTCTGCCCCACTCGTTATCGTTATGCTTCATTTTTTTTATTGTACTTTTTCTTTTTAATTTTTTAAAATTTTTTTCATTTTTTCTGTTTTTCTTTTTTTTATATTAATTATGATGGTGAAATGTCAATTGTTGGTTCGCTCATCACTTCTATATATATTTTGTGAGCGAGAAGTTATTAAATAAAATTGAAAAAATTTTTAAAATAGATCCTTGTATACGGTGTATTTTTATACATTAAATGTGCTCTAACAATCAACCACTGAAGAAACAAATCAAGCCAGGCCAAGTCTCAAGTTTGTTTTTTTTTCCTCTTTGTATAAACAAGGAAGTACATTTAATGTGTTCTAACATTCATAGGTGAAATCACTAAAGGACCAATGAAAGTCAGACATAGTTCTGAGGGGTTTTTTTACCTTTTCCTTCCTGATAAATAGGGAAACATCACTTCCTAGTTCTTTAAGAATGCCTGCTAATTCAACAGCTATATAACCTGCACCTACAACTGCTGTTTTCCTGAAAACAATCAAGATTTTAAATCTTTAGGGCCACAAATAATCAAACAAAACCCAATTACTATTAATTGTTTTAATTTTCAAAGTTCATATGTGCAGAGAAAAACATCACAACACTAGTTTTTTAACTGAGCGACACTCTAAATTTAATTTAGTGTCTGGCCTAAATAAATCTACAGCCTCATTTAAAAGCCATGTCCACACTATCAAATTGTAGGTGAACAATTTGTGTGATGTGCCCATATATGGGCATGGTGATGTCATATTATACTCAAATATGGGCATATCACATTTATTTGTCACATTTGATAGTGTGAAGGCCTACAGAGATTAATTTATCAAATGAAAGTTATCATAATACTGTACTGTACACACACACATTGAGTTATAGCTAAATGTAAGTAACGATACTGAAAGTTGAACACTTTGTGTCATTAGTAATTGTACATCATTAGTAATTGTACCTACATCACCCTATGGTGTCTGTCTTCTTTACTACTTTTACTAGTTTATTTCAGGAGGGTGAAAAACTAAGCTACTTTTATTAAAATATATAGATATTTTTGTTCATAAAATAAACTGCAATCTTACTTTGGAATGTCTTCGAGTTCAAAGAATCCATCGCTTGAAATCCCTAGCTCAGCACCTACATACAAAAAAAAATTTCCAAAAAAGTTAGAAATTATCAGAAATCATCATCAAATATTATTTTATGTACTTGTCCATATCTCTGGAGAAACTAAACACATTTTACAATGGGCCAAAAATTTCTTTTGCCAGCCCCCATCTAGTGGCGGCTGTGTCATTACTTGCAAAGAACCCTACAGTCCCTAGATCCCAGCCTTTTCTGGATTTATCCTCCAGTTGTATACATACTACAGTTGTATACACATCGTTGGGGCATACATCGTCAAGATTTGATAAGTGCGTTCAAGGAAAGCCCCAATTTGGGTGGCCCGCTTATTTTTATCTGAAGATGAAAAACAACACTTGTAGAACATTTATGATCAACAAATCTTTTTTCAGGAGCAAATGACAAGCTTTAGAATCGTTCTTGCAAAATAGTATAATTTGCAATTATGACACTTATTGTGAGACTTAGCTTTAGTTGGCTATCTGGTGGTAGCCCCTTGAACTTAGGTGGGAGATGTCATAAACTTACTGTTGGTGCAAATGGGTGTAATTATTCAACATCCCGCATATTTTTGTCTTTGTGTACATTAAAATGATTTCTCTCATCATGCAAGCAATTACTCACCTGGAACATTTGGTATGACAGGTTTTCCTCCCGATGCTATCAAGATATGTTTGCCGGTATAAAGCTGGTCCCCAACTTGGATGCAACGATCGCTTGTGAACGAGGCATGGCCACGAATTATATCTACTTTCGAATTACCAAGGTTTCTTTCGTAGATTCCATTTAACCGTTTGATGTATGCATCACGACTCTTCTTTATTGTACTGCAGGAAGGAAATATTTTGTAAAATTCATTCCTCATTTTTTATGCCATTTTTAACAGTGCTCACTTAATCTCAAAAAGACTTTCGAAATTTAAAAAACACTCATTGTGAAGATTTTGAATGAGAAACAATTTATTTTTTTACTAGGCCTTCATTGAAAAAAAATTAATGTTTGATCCTGTTCATACTGACCTCCAGTTGAAACCTTTATTTTCAATGTCAAAGCCATAATACTTTGAATCATGTAACATCTCGGACTGCATGGCTGTCATAAACATCACCTTCTTTGGAACACATCCTACATTTACCTGCAATAATTCAAATCAGGTTATTTCTTTCATACATACAGCTAGTATAGGCCTTTGTTAAAGAGGGTCTGTGCTTAAAGTCTGCAAGTCAAATGCACAGCGTAAAAAGTATGTGAATAGATATAAGGTTAACCGAGCTTTTCAAGGGTGGATCCAGAGATGTCTGAAAGGGGGGAGGGGACCGAAAGGGTGGGTCGATAGAGAAACAGCACTATTCTAGGGGGTCCAGGAAATTTTTGTTTTCTAGATGCCCAGAAAAAAACCCCTGAGGCGTTTGCAATCAATAATTTCTTTTCCTTTCGTTCATTTTCTTTTTTTTTGTTTGCAAAAGGGGGGGGGGGGGGGTGGGGC